GAATTTTAATTCACAATTATAAACACAAATCAAATGATAGAAACATATCTTCATTTTAATTCATGAATGTCGTGCAGTCGACATGAATGATTATAAACATTGATTGACACTTCTGACAAAGAGTAAAACAAAATAAGTTTGGCATCATTAGGAGTTATATATAAATACAGTCTTTCATGCTTGAAAAATAATTTAAAATATAACTTTTTAATTTCAAATATTGAAAATGGAATTTTATTCCATATTTTATTTACTTATCTTATCAAGTGCATTTAGCGTACAAAAGCAAATGTTCACCGGTAAATAACAATAAAACAGATATTACAAATACCATTATAAAATAATAAAGATTAAAGCATTAAAAATCTATAATAAGGCATTCTAAAATGGAAGGGGAGAACTCATTACATCAAAATCCTATATACAAATAAATGAAAATAAAACAGACATTACAAATAGCATTATAAAATAATAAAGATTAAGGCATTAAAAATCTATAGTAAGGCATTCTAAAATGGAAGGGGGAACTCATTACATCAAAATCCTATATACAAACTGCTCACTTACGCGGAAAGAAATGAAGAAGATATAAAAATTGCTATATTAAAAGGTGACGCGAAATGGGTATCAAGTATCCATTACTGAAGAATAAGCACGTTACTTTTGAAATATTAGCAGCCATGTGAATTATTTCGCAGCGCCTATCTCTTTGTTTAACGAGATTTATTACAGAAATTATACAGTGATATATATCTATTTTTCGAAACTAAGTGGAGACGCTTTCTGGGTAATATATTTTCAGGTAATTTTTTCCGGCGATATATTTCCCACACCCTTAATTTATAACACCTTTCGTCCCTCGAAATTTAAAGTATACCGTAGAAAAACAGCTTTATTTCTAAAGGCTTTCCTACTAAATTATACTGCAGCAACTGTTTCACTGCGTTTTCTTTAATCGTAGCATTTGAATAGAGTTTTCTTTTGTTAAAAATAAAAACGAGAAAACCTTTTTTACTTGTTTGTTTGTTTTCTCAAAAGAAACTCTATTTTTTCGAAAATACCATTTGTATGGAGTTAAAATTTTACAATTTTAGATCTCCAGTACTGTCTGTTTTCCTCTTCTCCGTTATGTTATCTTCTGCTTCTCTTTATTTAATCCAAAACGCTTATCATTTTAACAATGTTGCCTGTAAGCCTAACATTGTTGTCAATTCCTTAGTCGAAAGAAAACAGTTTTCTCGAAAGTTCCAGTCATGTTTGGCTCGGTTTGTTTGATTATAGCAAAGCAGGTGAGGACTATCTGCATGCCTCATATTGTTATAATTTTCTTAAGACAACTAAAGTAAAATGTCTGTTTTCTCCTAAGGAAGAGAAACTATTCCTTTATATCTCAAAATTCTCTTAACCTTTTCTTTCGAATGCCAAATGAACCGTAAGTTTTATTAATTATTAAAACTTAATAGTAGCTATAAAACGGGAATTCTGAGGTTAAAAACAATTAGAATCGACAGTATTCTCAATATATGGAAATTGTGAGAATTTTTTTCCCAGACCATCACATCGATTTGGTAAACAGTGAGTAAAATAATGTTACCGTGATTCTTTTAGCATTTTGGTATTCACACTTTTCCGTAGGTCCGCTCGCTTTATTTCGCTATTGACAGCGAAGCCCTATTTTTATACGCTGTTTAGACTTATATTGATATTGACCTATTAATAATTGATATAAACATAATAATTGTTCTGAGAAAAAAATCAGGTTTAATTTATTCGTAACTTTGTGTAATTATTTAAAAAAATCTCTTAAGTTCTGATTAAATTTAAAGCATTCTTTTTATTAGTTTCGTAATGAGGCTGTCTTTTGTTTATGCAGACTGGCTTACCTATGGATGAAATAGAGTAAATTTACACTTTTTAACAGAAGAGTATTCTGGACGTATGTTAAGAAAGGCAGAATAATCAATAAACTATTTTAAGCAGTTCAGTTTATAAGGTATTTCTCCCGCCTACCTAGCGTGCCTTCGTGGTGTAGTGGTTCTGCACGCTGGGCCGGTATTCCAGAGGTCCGTGGTTCGATTTCCGGCGAAGGCTCTTGCTCATTTTTCATCTTGATACCTAATGTCTTCCATAAAATACCTAATGTCTCTACAAATTAAAACTTATTTTTCAAACCAAGGAAATATATAAAAATATCTTTCTAGCAGAGGTGAAAATTTCACGGCCTCTCGTGTTTTTTAATATTTATGGATATTTATACCACTTCAAATGAATTTTGAGAAGTCTTAATAAAATGTATAGTTCTTATAATTCTGATAATCTCTTTACCATATTAGAAATTATTGTTTTATGTACTTGGCTAAGCTGATGATCATTTAAGTAATTTCACACTCGGTAGAAATGTCCAAATCGGAATCTAATCCACCATCAGATTTATTTAAAAATTATATCGACTCAAGGAAATTTATTTGCATCTTTGTTTGAAATATTGAATCTTTCTTTCTTTTTAAATTTATTTAGTTATTTTTATTACTTAGTTATTTATTTCGTTATTTATTATTTTTTCCTTATGGGAAAAGTTATAGATTCTAACATATTTTCATTAATCAACTGCGTCATAAGCCTGGCAAATACTCACTTTATTAATATTTAATCTAATAAGGCAAGCGTAGTTTCTAAATTTATCCAGGAATCTTAGCCTATGCCTTAATTCATATTCCACCTCAGACCTACGTGAGGAAATCAAGTAATTAATTATCCTATTCCTGAATCACGTCGGTATTGAGATGCAGGAAATATGCAGCGCAATTTATAAGAGACCCGCCTTCTAGTCGATTCGGCTGCTCATTAATTCCATTTTCGTCATGGTTTAAAAGACGTAATCAATATATATATATACTAATCATTATATAAGATTGCTGCATCATTTTTTTTTCTCTTGGATTTGCTTTTATGATTACTAAAGGTTCAAGTCTGCTTCCAATCCACTGCGAGCCTTAAGAGGTTTAAGATTTGCCCTCATTATAACTAACTCCTGGAAGCAATTAAGCACTAGACATGATTTCCCTTTCGAATCTCGAATAGCTTTAAGGCTGAGAATCAATAGATAAAGCAAGTGATGAAAGCCCTATTCTTTCCTGTTACTTCATTCAACGATGGTTCTCGCGCTGTCATTTACTTTTTAGTTTTTTTGCAAGCTAGAAATTTATTTCAAATAGAAAAAGATGGAAGTGACATAATATTATCAACAAAAAGTTTTCGGTAAGAAAATAAAAGGAAGTAAACTTACATTTTTATTTTCTTGAAAACGAAACTAATGGGGTATCAGTTGTCGATTTTAGCTCACCAGCTTTTCTTAAATTTAATTTCTTTCAACTCGACAAGTACAATCTTTAAACTCGTCAAGTATACACCAAAGTAACAAAACAATAAGAAGGTTTAATATTTTAGGAAGCTGTCGATCAAATTTGTAGTTGAGAAGGATGTAAGGACATGTTTGAACGCAGTTTGAAGACCACTACATTTTAAGCATGAAATAAAAATGCTTAAAATACTCCTTTTTCTTATCCACCCTGCTTAAATCAAACACCTTTATTTATTTATTTTATTTTATTTTATTTTATTTTATTTTATTTATTTATTTATTTATTTTATTTATTTTCTTGCAGAAGAATTATTTTGATTTTGCGTTAGGTTCATTTGTATAAAAGCTTATTCTGAATTAAAGCAAAATAAGAAATCCCCTTTGTTAAAATAACATATTTTAGTTAGCTTAACTTTAGTTACTTACCTTTTAGTTAATATTAAGTTAAATTACTTGTAAAGCATAACATAGACACATCAAACCCACCATTTGGATTCATAAAAATAAAATATACAACTGAAGAATAATATAAACAGAAGCAAGATTAGCCGTTGCCCATTTGAAATTGCAAAAAGAATATTTATTTGTTGATTTTTCTTTGAGCCAGACATATCCGTGAGAAATCAAAATCAAAACGCTTTTCCTGAACCAGCGAAGAAAGTACATTCAGATTTCAAAGTACGCGAGGAAAAATCTATGTTAGATAAAAAATTTTAAACGTAAACAGTTTCTGAAATTTTCAATGAAAAGAAAAATGGCTATAACAGGACGAATTTGTGTAATCCAAGCGTAATACGGTAACAGATGTCTTATAAAATTGTGCGACTTCCTTCTTCATTTCGAACGTTGCTTTCAACTGAGCCTGAGTGTGCTTTGCTTTTAAGCATTCTTAGATAAACTCTGAAAATACAGTTAACATAATTCCAGTGATATAAGCTTCAAAATTTTGCAGAGTGTCATTATAGCAATCCATGCTATTGTGGAATGCATGAGTCGACGTTATGAATACTTACAGTCCCTGGTTTTTCAGGGAAAGATTATTAAAAAGCCATAATTAAAAAGCAAGAACACCTTAGGAGCAGCTTTAGAAACTAGTTCTTTTTAGTTCTACATATCTGAAATATATATATATATTCTAGATAATATAGGTTTGAATTCCAGATATATGCATGATAAAGATATGCAGAAAATTAGATAATGTTTTGCTCATTAGTTGCTTACTAGAAGATTAACATACTGTGATCCATTGCAGAAAGGTAATTAAATTCTTAATCAGTTAACTAGTTAAATTAAATCTTAACCAGGAACTTTAATTTGAATAACTACTCTATATATTAAATTTTAGGTAAAAAAAAAAACTTCCGACCATGCTAATATTGCTGAGTCGTTCTTTTCGGATTCAAATCTGAGAAGACCGCAAAAAAACTGCTTAAAGTAGTATTTTGGTTTTAGAACTTAAATGAAGCAGAATATTTCAGCTTTATTTGAGAAAAACATTTTTTTATATCATTAAGAATTATTAGTCCAACAAATTAAATTATGCAATGCTGAAAATAATTTTTAGCTTTAATGTTAATCTTGCTTAAAACTCGGTGATCTGTCTTATAAGTACAAAAAGAATTAGCTGAACAAAACTTACCAATTCCTAGTCCCAATCCGAAATGAGGAATAACAAGTTGCAGTATATGGGAAGAATATGGAATCTGTAAAAGAGAAAAAATGATTTGCAGATATCGTAAAAACACAATTCACAACTACGTTAAATTTTAAAAGTCTGCATAGGAAAACATACATTGTACAGCAGCTTTATTCATTTATTAACCACCTTTGCTGAGTCGTTTTTAAGTTGTATACATCCAACATTCTTAAAGACATATTTAAACCACAAAGACCTATTTAAGCAATTTAAAAATTAAGCCATATTTAAGCTGTACTTATCCAGCATTTCCTAGAGAATGCTTTTTAATATTTCTTAAAGACTAACTTGAGCTTAAAGACTAATCAAGCATCCAACATTTCTTAAAGACAAGTTTGAGCTGACAGAGTTGGAAGTGAATAACTCAGCCAGGTCAAGTTAAGAATTCTAGCCTTCTTAAACATTTGACATATATTTAAGATAAATAGCTTCTAAAATAAAATCCTAAATTTAATTTGTAACAGCTCCTTAAGTCTTCTATTTATTTTTTATTTGTCTTTTCTATCTTAAAAGGAGTGTAATACGTATTATAAATATTTCTTAACGGTGTTTAATTTCAAATTTCGTCCTTGTTATATGAATCTTATATATACTCATGACGTAAGTATTTACATAATGCAAAAAATCTTTAATCCAGTTATAAGGACGATCCTTACGTTTTAGCTTCGATTGCTCTTTACCGGTACGATTTTCGCACCTCGCGGTGATATTTCAGTCTTACCAGTGTTTTCGCTGGAGTAGCAAAGCGAGGCGTATAGCAGAAGAACGATTTCGATCGTCTCCTTCTCCTCCAACATTAGTGTATCAAGGGTCTGCTACAAGCTGAAATTGGCGCAACGGTACCATTATCTTCGGTAGTGATAGCGTAATGGCTGTTCTTGTCTGAATTGATAGTCACTGGAAGACACGAACTTCGTTAATTCCTGCTTGCGTTTTAAGTGACAGACACCTGTTCATCATGTAACCAAGATTTTAAGTTTAATTTAAAGAACTGATTTGTCTTACCATCGATGTACGCCCTGGAGTTATATATACTAGCTTCGTATTCGTATTACACTATCACAGTCGTGGCCCTGGGGCATAATAACACGAAGCAAGTTCTACTGCCAGGAAGGGCTGCCTATACTGTCCCGGACGGTAATGGCTTCGGCCATACAAGTAAGTAACATTAACGGCCTAGTAACACAGAGTCTACAGATGCCTTCTGCTCTTCGCAGTTTCTGTGCACCTGAGGTTTGAACGAGCCTAGATTGCCGGCTCAGTGTCGGGGGGGTGAATGACAAAGTTCTTTTCTAAGAGTCTGTACTTCTGAATTGAGGCCTCCGTTGTCTAGCAAGCTGGGTTTGCACCATCCTACTCTTTTGGGAATTCTGTTAACAGCACTCGACCCAAGTTCGGGTTTCGCAGTTTATGGGTTTTCTGCCTTAAGTTGCAAGAAAAGTTAACAAAAATTTTAATCCTTGATCTACTCTAATAAATATCTTCAGATGTGAATGAGTGATGTTTCGTCAATGGTGTTATAACATACTGAGAAAGTAAAAAAAATATTCTAACTCATCATTAATTTACAGGGTTATCACTCCCACAACTCAACATTCTTTAACGGTCAATAAAACTTTCTCTGCGAATTTACTAATTTATCAGTTGTGGCATCCAACTCGGTAAAACTAAATTAAAAATGTAATTTTTTCTAATATTTTGGTGCAAAAGAAATTATTCAATTTCATTGAGGATTTTAAAGCACAAATCCATAAAAATTCGTTAGAAGAGGTTTTTAAAAAAGATGCTCTTCGGCTTAAAGATTAAAATAATTTTTGTAGGATTTAGAATTATAAATGAAATATTATTTAGTGGGAAATCACAATCATTTTCTTGAAGAAAATTATTTAAATATATGATGAAGTAATTTTAGAGCAGTTAATTCGAATATCTACATCTGAAGATTATAACTTTGTTATTTTAATCAAAAAGTATTTTAAAATGAAACACGGAGCGATATATTCGTTCTGACTGACTTCATTAACATTTTCTTTTGCACACAGGGATTTGTTAGGAGAAATTCAAAAGAACATTTTATTTCACAGAGAATATCCGGAAATACCCAAGAGTCGTTGTAATTTAAAACTGCGGGTGTTATTTATTACGCAGAAATGTTCCAAAATAGATGTAGGCGTCAGACTGAAATTATTCTCGTATAAATTAAACATGAAACCTAAGCTGCAGAACTAAATTCTTATACTATATGAGTTATACAGAGGAAACTACCACTGTTTCATTTTTTATATTTAAAATTATGCAGACGTAAAAGGTATAGACTATCTAATATAAAAATAATGTTCTCAAGAGGATAAAGAATTCAAATTCTACACAAAATGACATAAAAAACCGAAAACAAGAATTAGAGCGAAAAAAATTACAAAATGGGAATACGATTATCAGACAACGACAAAATGAAGTGGGAACCAGACACCTCTAGATCATTACGTAAAAGATGAAAGATGTTCCAAAATATTAAAAACGCAAAGCACAGTAGAAACATAAATTAAGATGAATCTCATACGGCTTTGTCCTCCCTAAAGTATGCTTTCAAACTTAATACATATATATGCAGTATTAGCATATATAACATAAATGTATATTACATATTTTATAATTGAAATTCTAAATAAAGTAATTAAGAGTAATTTAATAATCCCATAACTTGCGGTAAAACTGCAAAGTAATAAACATATAATTTATCATTACAAAACTTTTTAATACCATCTCCAAGGAACAAAAATTCATTTAAAACCCTAAATTATTATAATTAATAAATTTTTATACAATATTTTAATTAGTATTTTAAATTAGATATAGCATTATATTATTTAATTATAATAATATAGTTAGTATTATATTATTTTATAATTATATATTATTTTATAATAATATAATATATTTATAATAATATAATGTATTCATAATAATATCATGTATTTATAATAATATAATTAGTATAATATTATTTTTAATTAGTTTAGAAATACTATTTAAAATACTGTATAAAACATTTTACTTATTATAATAATTTATGGTATTAATTTAATTTCTGTTCCTTGGAGATGATATTAAAATGTTTTCTAATGATAAGCTATATATATATATGTATACTACAATCTGTAACTGTATGTATATGTCATTCAAAAATGAAATACTAAATCTGAGGATTATTTCTATACGTTTCACTTAGTGAAGATTGAGGTTCAGTTATTCTCTCATTTGAACCAATATTTAAAACTTAACATAAAAATAAACTTCGTTTCTTTCTCTTACACCTTATTTTTGAGGGTTCAGTTTTACAAATGCCCTATATGTCAACTATCTGCGATTACATATTGATGACTTTCAATATTTTTTTTAAATAGCAAATATATATATATATGTACAATTTAAAAACAAAAAACTAAATTTGAGGTTTATTTCTATACAATTCACTCACTGAAGATATAGGTTCAGTTATTCGTCCATTTGAATCAAGATTTAAAATGTAATTTAATATAAAAATAAACTTTTCTTTCTCTTACATCTTATTTCTTGACTATTAAATTGTACAAGTGTAGAGATATTAGGTAATTTTTGAAAGCAGGCAAGATGAAAAATTAGCAAAGCCTTCGGCCGGCAATCGAGCCACGGACTTCTGGAATACGCGCCCAGTGTGCAGACTACCACACCAGGAAGACATGCCAAGAAGGCGGGAGAAATACATTATATACTCTCCTTTTAAAGGGAGACTGAGGATTTTAGGGGACCCAATCGCCAAATCCTGGGTGAGGAAAATCATCATCCAACACCTTTTTAGTTCGGGTGCCACTGTACATACATTACGTTTTAATTGGAAGCAGGCAAGATGAAATATTACCAGGGGCAAATATTACCAGCGCCAGGAATCGAACTGCGGACCTCTGGAATACGCGCCCAGAGTGCAGACCACGACATAAGTAATTTATTACTTTTTGGGCAATGTTGTTAGTATGTGATGCATGTGAATATCCAAAACATGAAATATCTTTTAGTAACTGGCGTAATAATTTCAAATATTTATGAACTTCTATCATAATAATAATTTGTTTATAATAATATTGCACCTTCTTATGTCGCTAACAAAGATAGAATGTTATATTTTAGCTGTCACTCAAAGATGAGCCTGTACAAGGGTGCGAATGTGGAAACTGAAGAAATATGGACGGAAGCTGTGGAACCTGTAATGTAAAATCAAGGTGACTGTCTCTCAAGCTGCAGAAAACGGATAATGATGTTGAGATAAATTGCGGAAAATGTTACATAAATATTGGATATACTGAAGGTAAGCATCAGAGGAGTACTTGTAATGCTAATGCCATCAATGAATGAAAGCTACATTGACTTTTCTCAAGAACTGCTCTTTATGGTGAAGATTGATGAAGACAATTTTTATTTTCAACTAATCATAGCAGATGAGAAGCTGATTTATCATTACGATCCGTAAAAGGAATAAAAATGCGTTGTGTAAGAACATAAAAGAGCTGACCGAGCCACAAGTTCGGAGCACGAAAATCTACTGGAAAGATATTGCCAGAGCCAATTTAGGGTATGAAAAAGAGGCTGGGTGTTGCTCGTTGATTATTTGCCATGTAGTAGCTTGCTGATTCAACTGGCTATAAAGGGAAAACTCTGCTACAAACTCAACAGAAAAGTGCTGCCTTGCCTACGGTTGCGCATGACAGCACAGTCCTACGCAAGGCTCAGGTATCTCAAACTGTTTTTTAGTAATGCGGATTTCAACTTCTTTCCCATTCACAGCATTAAATTTCATTCATAGTTGTTATTTTTCGTTATTTTATTTATTCGTTTGCTTTAAACATTGTAGCAACGCTTGCCCGTTTCATGTTAGAACTACAGTGACGATGAGAAAGATGCCACTGCGGAGTAGTTTCAGAACTGTGACTTTTTTCTTGATGGAATTCGATGCTCACCTGCTCTAAGTCTGTT